ATGTAAAAAAAAACATTTACACACACACACACACACACACACACACACCCACAGACACACACACCCACACACCCACACACACACACAAATGCCATCACACGTACTCACACAATTATATCAAGACTTATTATAAATCAATGTCCATGCTGTCAGCCTTCAGGTTCACTGCTGACGGATGTGTCTTTACATAGGCCTTTCCTAATGCTTTACTAATGACAAACGGGCACATTCTTCATGCAATTTAAATTATAGATCGTGAATTCAGCATGAAGCAGGAGAGTGGAAGGGATTAACATATGTCTGGCACACTACTCATGTTTTATTAAAAAATAAACTATGTTAAACCATCAAGACAATGCTAGTCTGCTAACTTAACAGACTTTGTCTCTGACCAATGAATAAAACTGGTATTTATAGAAGCCCTGCCATGGTAACTGTAGATGTATTTTTATTCAGTCTTTGTAGGTGCAGAACGTGTGTGTATTTTTATAAGCATGCATGTGTAATGAATATATGAGTGAGGGCGAGTGATTGTGAGTGTGTGTGTGAGTGAGTGAGGACAAGTGAGCGAGTGAGAGCTAAAGCATTTGTCTTTTTTTTATTGCCATGGAAACTCCTGCATCCCATTGTTTATTAATGCTTCCTTTTTTTTTTTTTACATACACACACACACACACACACACACACACACACAGTCCTTCCAACAGAAAGGGACGAAGTAAACAAGTAGAAAAGAGAGGAAGTAAAAATGTGTCTCTCCTCATAGAAAAATTCCAGTCTGTAAAACTGCTGATAGACTGACACACGCACCACAACCTGCCAGTACCCATCTGCTGCTGTACATCTATTTCAAGCACACAGTGGAGGAGAGAGAGAGAGAGTCCCAGAAAGAGACAAGTAGATACAAGAGTAGTAGCGGAGAGGAATGGATAACGACACAGAATCAAATGCATACCAATCCGACAGAACAAATCCTTAACGTCTATCTGTTCATATCAGTGCAGTGGGGACAGGTGATCCATTCACCAAACCTGATAGTTTAAAGCAACCTTCACTGTGATTTAGTGGAGCAACATTATTTCTGCTTCAGCAGGGCATCGGCCTGCTCCACTGGTGGTGTCTGTTAAAAAAGCCTGCTACCTATATGTTTCCTGTTGGTCTTTGTTCAAAAAACAGGAGTGAGGAGAGATTCAAGATACATTATCACCAGCGCTTCATCCAGGTATTCTGCCGACCGGAAACTAGATCCAAAATGGAACCGGCAATCTGAACTTTTCCCCAACTTTAGGTAGTAATTATTAGAGAGGTTTATGTGGCCATGCAGATATTTTCAGATGCCCAAACTGCAGTAAGCACCTGTGATCATTCACCATTGCTCTTGCCTCAGTTGCAATATGCAATATTTAAAACTCAATCATGTGGGTGGGTTTATATGTTTTCTTGGTATCAAACTAGTTTGGTTCATAAAACAGGCTTCATAAAAATAACTACAAAATAAAATAATGATTTAAAAAAAACTGCATAAACTTGTATCCATATTAGGTATTGGTGACTGCAACAACTGACAAAAGCCAGAGTGCAAGCCAACTTGATCCGCCTTACTCGAGTTTGCCAACTTCAGGTACAAACAGTTCTGTCCTGCATTGATTTATTGTTTTCAATCCAACTAAACTGCTGTGTCCACAGTAAATGAAACATCTTTTTTTTTTTTGCTTCATAAGTTGAAGTAGCTGCCACTTGTGTCCAGTACACGCAATTCTCTGACTAACTCTGAGCTGGCGATTGATCTGACTGGCCAGAGCAGAAACAAACAGAGCAGACAGTGGAAAACAGCAGCTTTGGCTCTATGAAAATATG